ATGAACAGCGGTGCGTAGCGAAAGCAGAAGAGATGGAAAGGGCGGATCCTACAGTTAACAGTAGACAAATGTTAAGGCTGATCAAGGAAACAAGTATTAGAAATCCGGCCATCAGTGAGATTATCTTGGAAAAAAACAGGACGATTATTCATACCTCGACGTGGATATATAAACCAAATATGCATCCTTCAGCAGGTTCTGGAACATAGATATACATTCCGACGTTCAACTATGCCTGCATTTCCTAACGTTAAAGCAGAGTTCGACTCTGTTGATCGTGAGGTTCTGTAGCAGTGTCTGTCATTGGAAGGCGTACCAAGGAAGTACATTAACCTTGTACAAGCCTTCTATCCAAGTACTAGTTGTCCAGTCAGAGCTTATGGCGTACTGTCGTCGGAATTGGTTGGTCCAAGTAGTGTTTGTCAAGGTTGTCTGCCTTGCCCATTTTTATTTAAATTTATCACAGACACGCTTACCACAGCTACCGAGTTGCTGAATTCCTCATAACTTTTTGTCACTAATTTATATTTCCTTGAATCTCATCTTCGATGCCTAATTGTTTCCCATTACCACTCAATCTGTTTATACCTCTACTATTCTGAAATTTGGCTTGACAATTTCATCCCCCTCTGCTCATGGGGTATGGCAACTTGGACTGCTGTACATACGTACCAAGTTCTACTCTGTGACAAAATAATACAAATATATGTGACAATGGTTTCGAGCTGACCTGTGTCGAAATCTGGATTATAAGTGATAAAAATTATGGTTTAACACTTTGGCCATTAAACTGATATGTGGCACTTGTATCAGCCCTACTCTCGGGAGTGAATGGCGAAGTTTCAGCCAGTATATAAACGACTCAATGTACGATGAGGATAGTGTGCAAATGTTTATTGTATTCGCCGCAATGATTGTCAGGTATCGACAATAAAAGTGAAGAACATAAATTTATTGCTAGTATTGGACTACAATTGCCCTTCACTGTGATTGTCAATGAGTACCATCAACTTTATTATTTCTGTTAATATCTCTATTGTTTATTTTTGGGTTGTATAGAATATTAACCAATGTACGTTGTTGCTGTCTGCTATAGTCATCTTTAACTGACATTTAGTGTAAGCTTCAAAAAGCAGTCAGTAACTACTAATCATGTGTTCTCCACATATCTATCAAGGAAATAGGCACGGTCACTGCCTTGTTTCATGTGCGCTTGAATGGTTTTAATGATAGGTGAATATGATTCCGTTTTCTACTAATAAATATATTACTGTCGAAATCAGGTAGACGACCGGCTTAGTTCAAAAAATAAATAGCTGTAACGTTTTACAGGAGTAACAGCTATGTCATTCAGTGACAAAATTTATTTCAGAGACATAGCTAAATTAATAGTCAGTCAGTCAGTAACAACGTAGAACTTCGTAACACGTGTCCCAGTCATCTCAACTGATGAAGTTTCACTACTTCATCAATCGATTTGCCATCCTTACCTAGTACCCGTTTCCTAACAACTGTGTTACTTACTCGATGGTCCCAGGATATACGAGCAATGTTTCGAAGACACCTATGATCAAATACTAGTAACCTACGAATATCCTCTACTCTTACCGGCTATGCTTCACTGCCATAAATTAGGACAGAACGAACTGCTGCATAGTTAACCCGTCCTTTGGTTGATAGACGGATATCTTGCCTACGCCATAAATGACGCAAGTTGGTAAAAGCTAGTCGAGCCTTCTGTATCCGTGCTGAGATTTCGTCACACACCAGACCACAAGGGCTGATGAGACTTCCAAGATAAGTGGAGCGGTTGACACGCTCAACTACTTCACTTCCTATCATTAGTTCGGGTGTCGATGCAAGCTAATCCTGAAGCAACATTTTGCATTTCGAGGGGGAGAATCGCATCCCGAACATGCTTGCATTGTTGCTTAGAGTGGTCAGAAGACTCTGCATTTTGTCAGCGTCTTCACCAAATAAAACTATGCCATCAGCATATTCTAAGTCAACAAGTGAACCTCCCGGTAGAAGTTCAACCCCTGGAAATCTAGGCGAGGAAAGTGTCATCTCTAAAAATACGTCGACCACAAAGTTGAACAAGAATGGAGAGAGTGGACAGTCCTGACGAACACCACTTGAGGTAATCAATTCTGATGACAGTTCGCCATAAGCTCTCACTCTACCAGTTGTGTTCGAGTAGAGAGCCTGTATAAGGTTAATGTACTTATTTGGTACTCCTTTCAGTGACAAACACTGCCATAGAACCTCATGATCAACAGAGTCGAATGCCGCCGTAAGGTCGAGAAATACTACCATTGTGGGGCGTCTGGACATGTGTCTGTGTTCTAGAACCTGACGTAGTGTGAATATCTGATCTATATGACCAAGTCCAGGTCGAAAACCAGCCTGATTTTCTCTAGTGTACTCTTCACGACCTTTGGTTAGGCGTCGAAGTATTATTGAAGCTAATATCTTAGACACTATATTAGTCACAAGAGGACTTTTGTCCTTTCTTATAGACCAGCACGGTCAGTGATGGAGACCAGTCAGATGGGATTACGTCCATTTCCCAGATTTTACTTAAGACCTCAGTCAATCTCGCTGCTAATACTGGACCATCATCCTTAAAAATACCATGGGTGAACCTGTCAGGGCCGGCTGCTCTCCCTCGCTTCGGATTTCCGATAGCTTTTTCAACTTCATAAAGAGTCGGAGGACCTACATTAACTTGCCACTCAGGTTGACTGGAGATCGTAGGAAACCGAAGTGTGGCTGAACGCCAGTTGAACTGATCTCTAAAGTGTTCTGCCCATCGATCCAATCTCCTGGATTGAGAATGTATAATATGTCCATCTTTCTCTGAGAGTGTTTCGCTAACAGTCGGTTTCCTAATACCGGTTTATTTAACAAGTCTGAACAATTGTCTGCTATTACCTATTGCCGCTGCCTTTTCCATCTCTCTTGCTTTCGCTACCCACCACTGTTCACGATCATTGCGTAGACTTCTTTTCAGCTTGCGCTTAAGCTGACTCCGCTCTTCATTATGTTCAGAGCCAGGTGGAATGAGTTTCCGAGCATCTATCAGTGTGATAGATGCTGCTGAGATCCAGTGTTTCTCCCTAACCTTGTGGTTTACCTTACTAGCAGATATCATTGCTGTTTCCACAGCTTTTCGGATATCATTCCATGCTGCTTCGGGGTATGCATCACTTACATGGCTGCCTAACTGTTTTTCTAGTTGTTTCTGAAATATACTCTTAGCTTGACTATCATTAAGTAGGACCCTAAAAGGTTTCCTTGTAGCGTCTTTCCTACGTCCAGTAAGACGCAGGCAAATACGCGCTCGTACTAGAGCATGATCTGAATCTAAGCATGTGCCCCAGAATGATCGACAGTCTTCTGTCCAGGCCCTCCATCGGTGGCTGATAGCGATGTGATCTATTCGGGTCCAACGTTGAGAAGAATTAGGGGGTCGCCATGTTAAAAGATGTTTTTCCTTATGCTTAAAGTTAGTATTTGCGAGAAAGAGGAGGTTATCTGAGCATAGCTGCAACAGACGGTCGCCATTATCTGTTCTTTGAGCCACGACGCTGTAAGATCCACCCAGGTGTCTTTCCCTATCGCTTAGTTTACCTACTTGAGCATTAAAGTCACTAGCCACTATTATAACATCCGAGCGCCTAGCTTTTCGGAGAAGGTCGAGAAGCTTTCTGTAAAACTCATCTTTTACATCATCTGCACTGCAGTCAGTGGGAGAATAGGCAGAGACGACGAAGAGGCAACGACGAGTGTCCCTATCTTTTCGGATCCTTACTGTTCCGTTTAGTTGGACAGCGCACAAACGACTGTCTACTGGGATCCACTCTAAGAGAGCTAGTTCTGCCCTAGGATTCAATGGTATACCTATGTCGGCGAGGCCACGAGAAGCAGCATCAGGGCTTCCAGATACACGAAGTGTGAATCGAGTTGGTTCTTTGTTTTGATATGGTGATGTCAAATGAATGACGCTACTCGGGTCCTGTGTGCGAGTTTTGGAGACGCAGCACACATCGATGGCGCGAGATTCTTAAGTCCTAGCTAAGGAAACCTGTTGTCCCATTTGGCAGTGTTCGGACGTTATCAGCTTCAACATGAAGTTTAGAGCGTGGTTTCAGGAGACCAGGAATAGCGTTCCACGTACTCGAATCGTTTGCCCTAGCGGTGCGAGGTGATAAAGAGACATGAGGAGGGTTAGTCATGGAGATAAGAGAGGTATTAGGAGGTGTAGGAAGGATTTGAAAGTGACCAACTTGGTTTCGTGCGCTGTTACGGGTATGAGGGCTGATGTCACTTCCCGGCCGCCCAGACCATGGAAGGGTGTTTCTTGAGGAACCTGAAAAGGAAGTTGGATTAATGTTGGCCTTAACGACCTGGGAGCGTGACCGCAGAGCCCAAGGGACAACTGCTTGAGGCCGGTCACGCATGGCCTTTTTGTGGGAGGTTTTTGACGTGTTAGCTCCGTTCTTCAAAGGGCCTTACCGCCGGAGACGGAAATCCGTGAGTTAAGGTGAGGTGTGACATTTTTAGGGTCGACCTTTTCTAACCCCTTCCTTCGTTGTGAGAAGGCAGCATCGCTGCAGATGCTGGTTGTCCGAGGGAAACACCTTACTGCTGTCACACCCCTCTACAGTCAGCAGTACGACTTTACCCTCAGACCTTGAGTTACTGCTTTTAGTCTTACCGTTCTCCAATCGACCTGCCTGGCATGGTAGAACCTACAGGAACATATGTTCCAGCCAATATAGCTCTGTTGGGTCATCACGATAGGCAAGCCCGACCACCGCGTCAAGGTAGCAGCTTCGGTCGGGATTAAAATAGTTTATACTGACTGTGATAGGATATTTCAAGAGAATTAAAATAGAAATACTCTTGTAATATGAATGAAAGGATGAAAAATATTTTCAAATATAGTGCAATTTTATTGCGCCTTGTATACAATGGTGTTATTGCAGTAAACTAACCTGTTACATGAATTTACATGAATATTTGATGCATTGGATAATTCAGATAGTCCATTTTCTGGTTTTTCGAAGGCGTTATATACTTGACTTCTTGGGACCATATTAATTTCTGAGTAATCTGGCAAGTGATTGGCTTCAACTGACAATCGGTCTTTTTGTAACTGGAGTGGATCTGAATCAGCTTCAGACGTGATGAGAGAGTTTAAACTACGTAACTGGGAAGTAGTGATTTTATAATTTCTAAACCTGACACCGATATTATTCAATGGATTGAACAGTTCTGTCTCGATATCACCGACAGCGACATCTTCTTCTGAATCGAAATCATCAAGAGCAAGATCTTCAACTTCGCCTTGTTCACTCATATCATCTGAGTCATTTTCGCTCGAAGGTTCCGACACATTTTCCTCTTCCTCCTTATCCGGTTCAAACTGGCAATTGTAATGAAAACAGGGTAGGGCATAAACTGAAAACCTGCTTATAAAACAAAGTAAGATGAGATCTTGCAATAATGAGAATTCTTGAGATATTCGAAATGATTTACTCCACAGTAAGCATCAGCAGAACAGATCTTTAGTAAAGATTAAAGTGCAGTCAAGATTACAATTATTTCTAAACATGCAAGCACATTCGAAGCTTGAACACGACAAACTAATTATCATTCCCATGAAAAAGATGGAAAATGTATTTTTCTTGTACATGAAATTTTTCCAATTTGCTTGTAACTAATCCGTTTGGATATGACAGTAAAAAAACTCATATGTGGATAAGCCCGGACAACACTTATGCCGACTGTCCATTTATTGATGTTCGTCGCTGGTTTTTATGTACTAGGCTACTGTAGTAACACAATTAATTTAAAATCAGATGATACTATTCAGGTTGTAGTATGCTTAAGTATGTTAACTTTAATAAAATCAGATATCCGTTAAAGGTCCCGACTAAGGGTTTATCGGCGATTCAGTCAGCCATTTGTCATATAGATTCCATTCACTTTAAAAGGGTCAGAGGTAGATCATCTGAGCTTGGCGATTTGTGACACTTTAAGAGTCGGAATTCCTAACAGATTTCCGCCTCGTCAGGTGGATCAGTCGCCACCTGCTATGGAGAGCAGGACAGTCTAATCGACGTTGCCGAGGCAGCAGACCAGTTAAACTGCTGTTCGAAAAACTCAAACTATCGCCCAAGATGTCGGTAGATGTTATCGATTGACATTCCATCAGCTTGACAGATTGTTTCATACACCTGACTAATTGCTGCCAGTGTCTCGGATGAGTTGAAAGAGCTTCCGGAAGTCACAAGATGCAGCTGCTGCTTCCAACTCGTTAGTACGCTCGAACCACCAAGCTTCTCGGTTCATACGCAAACTTCGCACAATTTCATTACATAATAATCTTCGTCTATGGTCAAACTCGCAGTCACTCGGAATAGACCGATGTGCATCAACGGGTTGTAACGATCCTGTAGAAATTCAGCGCTTATAATCGGGACGTTTCGCGAAGCCGCAAGCGAATTTACTCGCCATTTTCACAGCGTCATGCAAATGCAACCAGTGCTCATCTATACTTTTTCGTGGGATAGCAGCTAGCCTTGAACCTAGCTAGGTTTGATATTTAGTTGCAACAGAAGCTGCAACCAATTTGCTGACGTCAATCTATTTGGAGCGATGAATTTGCTGGCGACTGAGACAAAAGACAATATTAGTGTAAAAAAGGGCACGATCGGAATCCAGATAGGTACTCCAAAATGAGCGGCATTTTTGTACACAACCACGCCAGCGATAGTCGATCGCGATGTGATCAATCTGAGTCCCGGCTTGAGATGCAGAAAGAGGACTCCAGGTAGCACGTCAGCGATGACTGCGCCGGTAGTGAATGCTAGCCAGAAACAGGTTGTAGTCTACTCAAAGTTGCAGTAGTCAGTAATCATTATTTCACCAGCGACCAACAAGTTCCCATCGACCACCTAAACGACTCACTTCTGTGCCTAGACGCCCGACCTAAGCATCCAGGTCCCTGGCTAGTACTACAATATCTGTCAAACTCACTTCCTGTAAACGAACAGTTAACTGGTGATAAAACGCATCCTTGACAGTATCCGGGCTATAATATGTCAGAGCATAAGTGATGATGATGAAAAGACATTGTTTCTCAAACCGACGTCTTTGTAATTTGATGGGACTTTCTGATTTAACAGCACACAACGGACTGGTAACGAGGAGTCAATCCATTAGTGCTACCTTAGCTCTAGTGTTTAGTGAAACACCAGCACCAAATAAAAAACAGACAAACATACTACAGGGTCCCCAGATAAACGCACGTGAAACAAACTTTTCGAAGCGACAGATGGAGAGCGAATTTGTAGTGCTTCACTAGAGTCTGGAATACTGGCTGGCTATGTCTTTTTAAAGTCTTAATATCGATGTTTATTGTCTATCCGAGACCCGTATTCAAGACTCTGGTGAAGTACTACAAATTCGATCTCCATCTGTCGCTTCGAAAAGCTTGTCCTACGTGCGTTTATCCGGGGACCCTGTGGCATCTTCGTCTGGTCTTGCTGGCGTTGGTGTCGCACTAAGCGCTAGACCTGAGGCAGCACTAACCGATTGGATTCCCACTAACAGTCGGTTATGTGCTGTTAGATTAGAAAGTTCCATCAAAGTGAGAAGAAATCGGCGTGAGAAACGATGTCTTTTCGTCATCTCCGCCTATGCTCTGACGGATTGCAGCCCGGATGCAATCAAGGATGAATTCTACCACCAGTTATCTGTTCTTTTCCAGAAAATGCGTTCGACAGATATTGTAGTACTAGCCAGGGACTTGAATGCGCAGGTCGGGTGTCTAGGCACAGAAGAGAATCGTTTAGGTGGCCGATGGGGACTTGTTGGTCGCACGACAGATAACGGTGACCGTCTACTGCAACTTTGCACAGACCACAACCTGTTTCTGGCTAGCACTAACTTTCGGCACAGTCATCGCCGATGTGCCACCTGGCGTCCTCAATCTGCATCTCAAGCCTGGACTCAGATTGATCACATCGCGATAAGCTACCGTTGGCGTGGTTGTGTACAAGACTGCCGCTCCTTTTGGAGTACCTATCGGGACTCTGACCATGCCTTGGTCTGAGCTAATCTTACCTTACTTTCCAGTGTACTACGAAGTGACCGCCATCAACGGATTGATATTAGCAAGCTAGTTGCAACTACTGTTGCTAGTAAGTATCAAACCGCGCTAGCCCCTAGGCTAGCTACTATTCCACTGAAAAGTATAGATGAGCATTGGTTGCAATTGCATGACGCCATGAAAATGCCGAGTGAAGCCATTTGCGGCTTCGCGAAACGTCCCGCTGATAAGCACTGGGTTTCTTCTGGTTCCTTACAACTCATAGAAGCCCGTCGGTTTACTCCGCGTGACCATGAGTTTGACAACAAACGAAGGATGTTACGTAAGGAAATCGGGCAAAGCTTGCGTAAGGACCGAAAAGTCTGGTGGTCGGAGCGTGCTAATGAGATGGAAGCAGCAGCTGCATCTGGTAACTACCGGAAGCTCTTCCAACTCATCCGAGCCACTGGCAGCAAGAAGTCTGGTGTGAGTGAAACAATCTGCGAGGATGATGGGATGCCAATCACTAACATCCATCGACGTCTTGGACGATGGGCAGAATTCTTCGAAGGGCAGTTCAACTGGCCTGCTACTCCGGCAACATCGGTCAGACTGTCCTGCCCTCCATGGCCGGTGACGACTGATCCACCAAATGAGGAGGAAGTCCGCAAGGAACTCCAACTCTTGAAACGCTACAAATCACCTCACCCAGATGACTTACCTCCGGTTCGTTTTAAAGATGGTGGTGACTTTCTGACTAAGGAACTGACGACGTTGTTTACAAAGGTTTGGGAACTAGAGAGTGTACCAACGTCATGGAATGAGTCGATAGTTGTCCCTATCTTTAAAAAGGGTTCACGTCGTTCCTGTAACAACTATCGGGGGATAAGTCTACTTCCGATCGCGTCCAAGCTATTGGCTTCCGTCATACTTCGTAGGTTGTTCAAAACCCGAGAAAGATTGACTCGCGAGGAGCAGGCTGGGTTTCGTTCTGGTCGAGGATGTATTGATCATATCTTCACCCTCCGCCAAATGTTAGAACATCGCCATACTTATCAAAGGCCAACAATCGTAGTGTTTCTTGACATCAGGGCTGCCTTCGATTCGTTGGACAGGACTGTTCTCTGGGACTGTCTATTGAAGAAGGGTGTGCCTGAGAAGTTTATTAACATCCTAAAAGCCCTATATAAAAACACCTCAGGCAGAGTGAGGGCATACAACCACCTCTCTCCACTGTTCCATTCAAGCAGTGGGGTTAGGCAGGGTTGCCCAATCTCGCCATTCCTCTTCAACTTTGCCATCGATGACATTCTGGAAACAGCTCTGACGGATGTATGTAATGGCGGTGTAGATCTGCTGCCTGGAGAAAGACTTCTCGACCTTGAGTATGCGGATGATATTGTCTTACTGTGCGATAATGCCCAAGGCATGCAATCCGCATTTAATCAGTTGGCAATCAGTGTCCGTAGATACGGTATGTGCTTTGCACCTCCGAAGTGCAAAGTACTTCGACAAGACTGGCAGGATTCCAATCCTGTACTCACCCTGGATGGTGAGCAGATAAACGTAGTCGAGAAGTTCATGTATCTGGGTAGCTGCATAAGTGCTGATGGGGGTGTGAGTGATGAAACAAATCCACGTATAACGAAAGCCAGAGCGGCTTATGCCAATCTGGGCCATCTTTGGCGCCTTCGTGATGTTAGTCTGGCTGTAAAGAGTCGGATCTACAACGCGTCGGTAAGAGCAGTTCTGCTCTATGCATGTGAAACCTGGCCTCTCCGAGTTGAAGACGTTAGACGACTATCTGTATTCGATCATCATTGTCTCCGAAGGATTGCTGACATCCAGTGGCAACACCATGTTAGTAATGCAGAGGTCCGGCATCGTGTGTTCGGGCACAGAGACGATAATGCGATTGGTGTCACCATCTTGAAACATCAACTTCACTAGCTTGGACATGTTCTACGAATGTCTTCCCAGAGAATTCCACGTCGTGCATTATTTGCCGACGCTGGGACTGGTTGGAAGAAGCGGAGAGGTGATCAGTGCATGACATGTTGTCGTGGTATGAAAAAAGCTGTAAAGGACTGGCTTGTGTCGGTCCTTCACGACTCCCTGGTTGGGGTCCGAGAGATGGTGCTACACAGTGGCTAGAGCATTATCAGATATGGCTCAGAATAGAAGCCAGTGGCGATTCTGCTGTAATCTTCTTTTACTTTCTTCATAAAAAGTGGTTACTTCTACCGTAACCGAAAGATTTCTTCTGATTGTACCTTTTCGTTTCCTTCATTATTATTATTACACTACCTTACACTAATCTATACGTTATCGTTTTTTGTACGCTCCTTACTTTTTTTTTCCTTCTTCTCTTCAAATTCCCATTGTTTTGCGTGGCACATATGTATTTGGTGCTCTCTTGTACCAATATTTATATGTTCAAGTAAATAAATAAATAATATAACTGACGTAGTATATATAAAGAACATAAAAATGAATGTTATCAAATCATTGTTAATGTGATTCTTCTGAACGCTAATTGAAGTAAGAATAGTATTTCCAGTAGTAATCGTCATTTGATTTGTGTTTGTGCTGTGATACTATCCGGCTGTGTAAACCGAAACAGATGGTTTTCTTAGGGGACCACATGCAGAACCTTCGACCTGAAAGTTTAATCCACAACACAGTGGAACAACGTTAGGAGATGCAGTCTCAGCCGGTAACCAACGACGAGTTCATACGCCATTTGTTCCCTCAGGATTCTGGAGCCAATGTACACCATAGTTTTGCCCCCGAACGCCCTGGTACGGCCGAGAGTGGGAAGAGTCCGCTCTCCCTCTCGAAATACTCTCACACGGCCGCGCGTATACAGCCTCTGCCAGGGAAGTCCTACTCATTGCCTTCTCGTGGCGGGGGTGTTGTTTACGAAAATGAGAGGACGAAAAGCGAACGTCCGGCGCTTTAACCGGATCACAAACCAATGGTGCACATGGGCTCCAGTATCCTGCGGGAACAAATGGCGTATGAACCAATCGTTGGTCACCGGCTACCATGGGATTGCATCTCCTCACGATGTTCCACTGCCTTGTGGGTCAGACCATTAGGTCAAAGGCTCGGGGTGTGGCCCCCTAAGATAACCACCTGCTTCGGTTTGGGCACCCGGGCAGTATCACAGCCCACACACAAACAATGAACTCTATGACTACGGCAACTAATTTCCTCTCTCCGATCAACATTCAATTGATTCAAATAATTATTACTGTTATTGTCATTATTAATACCATTATTATTATTACCATTATTGTCATTATTGTTATTAATATTATTATTATTATTATTTTCCACATTATTCACCCTCCTTTATACTTATACAGCGGCTCGTCTTTGGTGGAAATTCGACTGTATCTAAACGTTCTCGAGTCACTGTTCGGTTGAAAATTGTATGTTACCACCGAATACGAGAACTGAAGCAGTTTTTCTGAAACCACGTGCACCATTCAAACTGGCTGCCTTCAACGTTCGCACACTAATGCAGGTCGGACAACAGATAGGGCTGGCTATGTCTTTGGAAAGTCTCAATATTGATGTTTGTTGTCTATCCGAGACCCGTATTCAAGACTCTGGTGAAGTACTACAAATTCGATCTCCATCTGTCGCTTCGAAAAGCTTGTTTCACGTGCGCTTATCCGGGGACCCTGTGGCATCTTCGTCTGGTCTTGCTGGCGTTGGTGTCGCACTAAGCGCTAGAGCTGAGGCAGCACTAGTCGATTGGATCCCCATTAACAGTCGGTTATGTGCTGTTAGATTAGAAAGTTCCATCAAAGTGAGAAGAAATCGGCGTGAGAAACGATGTCTTTTCGTCATCTCCGCCTATGCCCCGACAGATTGCAGCCCGGATGCAATCAAGGATGAGTTTTACCACCAGCTGTCTGTTCTTCTCCAGAAAGTGCGTTCGACAGATATTGTAGTACTAGCCGGAGACTTGAATGCGCAGGTCGGGCGTCTAGGCACAGAAGAGAGTCGTTTAGGTGGCCGATGGGGACTCGTTGGTCGCAGGTCAGATAACGGGGACCGTCTACTGCAACTTTGCACAGACCACAACCTGTTTCTGGCTAGCACTAACTTTCGGCACAGTCATCGCCGATGTGCCACCTGGCGTCCTCCCTCTGCATCCCAAGCCTGGACTCAGATTGATCACATCGCGATCAGCTTCCGCTGGCGTGGTTGTGTAAAAGACTGCCGCTCCTTTTGGAGTACCTATCTGGACTCTGACCATGCCTTGGTCTGCGCCAATCTTGCCTTACTTTTCAGTGGACAACGAAGTGACCACCACCAAAGGATTGATATTAGCAAGCTGGTTGCAACCTCTGTTGCAAATAAGTATCGAACCGAGCTAGCTTCTAGTCTAGCTACCACTCCACCGAAAAGTATAGATGAGCATTGGTTGCAATTGCATGACGCCATGAAAATGGCGGGAACAGTCAGTTGTGGGTTTGCGAAACCTCCCGCTTATAAGCACTGGGTTTCTTCTGGTTCCTTACAACTTATTGAAGCCCGTCGGTCCACTCCGGGTGACCGTGAGTTTGACCATAAACGAAGGATGTTACGTAGGGAAATTGGGCAAAGCTTGCGTAAGGACCGAGAAGTCTGGTGGTCGGAGCGTGCTAATGAGATGGAAGCAGCAGCTGCATCTGGTAACTACCGGAAGCTCTTCCAGCTCATCCGAGCCACTGGCAGCAAGAAGTCTGGTGTGAGTGAAACAATCTGCGAGGATGATGGGATGCCAATCACTAACATCCATCGACGTCTTGGACGATGGGCAGAATTCTTCGAAGGGCAGTTCAACTGGCCTGCTACTCCGGCAACATCGGTCAGACTGTCCTGCCCTCCATGGCCGGTGACGACTGATCCACCAAATGAGGAGGAAGTCCGCAAGGAACTCCAACTCTTGAAACGCTACAAATCACCTCACCCAGATGACTTACCTCCGGTTCGTTTTAAAGATGGTGGTGACTTTCTGACTAAGGAACTGACGACGTTGTTTACAAAGGTTTGGGAACTAGAGAGTGTACCAACGTCATGGAATGAGTCGATAGTTGTCCCTATCTTTAAAAAGGGTTCACGTCGTTCCTGTAACAACTATCGGGGGATAAGTCTACTTCCGATCGCGTCCAAGCTATTGGCTTCCGTCATACTTCGTAGGTTGTTCAAAACCCGAGAAAGATTGACTCGCGAGGAGCAGGCTGGGTTTCGTTCTGGTCGAGGATGTATTGATCATATCTTCACCCTCCGCCAAATGTTAGAACATCGCCATACTTATCAAAGGCCAACAATCGTAGTGTTTCTTGACATCAGGGCTGCCTTCGATTCGTTGGACAGGACTGTTCTCTGGGATTGTCTATTGAAGAAGGGTGTGCCTGAGAAGTTTATTAACATCCTAAAAGCCCTATATAAAAACACCTCAGGCAGAGTGAGGGCATACAACCACCTCTCTCCATTGTTCTATACGAGTAGTGGGGTTAGGCAGGGTTGCCCAATCTCACCATTCCTCTTCAACTTTGCCATCGATGACATTCTGGAAACAGCTCTGATGAATGTAGGTAATGGTGGTGTGGATCTGTTGCCTGGAGAAAGACTTCTCGACCTTGAGTATGCGGACGATATTGTCTTACTGTGCGATAATGCCCAAGGCATGCAATCCGCACTTAATCAGTTGGCAATCAGTGTCCGTAGGTATGGTATGTGTTTTGCACCTTCGAAGTGCAAAGTACTTCTACAAGACTGGCAGGATTCCAATCCTGTACTCACCCTGGATGGTGAGCAGATAGAAGTAGTCGAGAAGTTCGTGTATCTGGGTAGCTGCATAAGTGCTGGTGGGGGTGTGAGTGATGAGATCAATGCACGTATAGTGAAAGCCAGAGCGGCTTATGCCAATCTGGGCCACCTTTGGCGCCTTCGTGATGTAAGTCTGGCTGTAAAAGGTCGGATCTACAACGCGTCGGTGAGAGCAGTTTTGCTCTATGCTTGTGAAACCTGGCCTCTCCGAGTTGAGGACGTTAGACGACTCTCTGTGTTCGATCATCGCTGTCTCCGAAGGATTGCTGACATTCAGTGGCAACACCATGTCAGTAATGCAGAGGTTCGGCATCGTGTGTTTGGGCACAGAGATGATAATTCAATTGGTGTCACCATCTTGAAACACCGACTTCGGTGGCTTGGACATGTTCTACGAATGTCTTCCCAGAGAATTCCACGTCGTGCATTGTTTGCCGACTCTGGGACTGGTTGGAAAAAGCGGAGAGGTGGTCAGTGCATGACATGGTGTCGTGGTATGAAAGAAAGCTGCAAAGGACTGGCTTCTGTCGGTCCTTCACGACTCCCTGGTTGGGGTCTGAGAGATGGTGCTACACAGTGGCTAGAGACGTTATCAGATATGGCTCAGAATAGAAGCCAGTGGCGATTCTGCTGTAACCTTCTTTTACTTTCTTCATAAAAAGTGGTTGTGTCTCCCTTACTTGAAAGATTTCTTCCGATTGTACCTTTCCGTTCCATCGTTACGACCGCACTACCTTTCACCAATCTCTTTGTTATCGTTCTCTTTTTCTTTTGTGCTCCTTAGTTTTTTTTTCTTTTCTCTCTTCGAATTTTCATTGTTTTGTGTGGCGCATATATATTGGCGCTCTCTTGTACCAATATTTATGTGCTCAAATAAATAATAAATAAATAAATAGTTTTGGAATCAGGGTTTTTCAACTCCCCTAGGTGGACTCTCCGTGTCCTATGACTGAACTCAATGATGGGTTAGGAAGTGAAAAGTTGCCAAGCTATGAAACCCACAGTTTTGGTGCTGCTGACAAACGTACTACAACTGGATGAACTACATTAAAATAGTGTCAGATGTTAGATCTATTAAGCATCATTTTTTTAGAACCAATACTAGTCGAAAACTTACTTAATTTATAAATATTTCTAAAGACTGAGAAGTCTATTGTCTTATTACCACACTTTTTTTATATTTCGAGGCTTTTTTGTTTATTACTTTAAAATCCTTTGAATGTATTGACTGATAAGTTTCCATGGAAACGTATGGATGGCAGAAATTCATTTGAACTCTTAGGAATAAATATTTTGGTAGATAAATAATATAAATGGCTTCAACAAGCATGCTGAGTTTACCTTGGCAAACGGTCTTTGATCAACTGACATACCAAGCAAAGTATCCGCAGCCTTAATGACTGCTCGATAACAAAATCTTAACTGGTCAGCTGTCTGGATAATACCCATACGACATTTTCTTAGCTCAAGAAACAAATTTTTGATATCAACACCAGAAATAGAATTCGCTTGTTCAATCTGAAATTAAAAAATGGGTAAACATACATGATCCATATGTGAGAGAATGCCAAAATATAGAAGTGAATCTCCAGTAACTAGATGGATGATAGGTAAAAAAGGTTGGAGAATGAGTTGACTGAAGAAACAATTTTGAAACAGGGTATACGATATGCACTGTGTGGAGAATAGTGCATTTAGATATCTCAATTGACTAAGACAGATTCTATTTTTTCAGGACTACATAGTCCACCACCACATACTTCTTTCATATGAAATACAAGAAGCCAATCTATATTTTCATCAAGTATTCCTACGTAGTAAAGAGTGATTTGATCACAAGACAAAATAACTAACTACCTAAACATGAAAAAAATACACTAATTAACTCAGAAACAATAAATTCTGGTTAGACGTAGATATGAGAACAATTGCTGAAGTAGACATTGTGGAAAAACTTCCCATACACCAAGTCGCATAGTATGCTTGATGAGTGAGATTGGTTCTACAACGTTTAGTATGACAACCATACAATCCGAACAAATGTATGTGCAGATAACCAAGTAGTGGTAGACTGATTGTTTAATCGATACTGTTGTAAATTATAATAATTATTATTAGGCTGTGGTTGAAAATCCGAAATTAATTGGATGAAGTTAACAGTGAAAGTGTATGCGCCAAATAAAGCATTATATAGATATTAAATTATTAATTTTTCACAAGTTGTGTGAATTTGTCCACATTTTCTTCCGAAAGATAAAATAAAGAACAATTTCCTTTTTTTCATTAAAAACACGAAAAATCATCAGAATATGTAGAGGCAGGCGTATAGTTAGCATTGAAAATCAACTCAACTTACCAAGATTAATGCTAGATCTATCAAAACAAATGTTCCTGATCGTCCAATACCAGCACTACAATGTATAACTGGTGGATAACATGGATCATTTAATGCACCCGAAGCTCTAACAGACCAAAGAAAATTCAGTATTGCGCTAGGAGAATTAGGTATCCCAAAATCGGGCCAATTAGTATACTGCATGTGCAAGACATGATGAACTTCATTGGTCTGAATAAAATGAAACTTAAAATAATTAGTAAATCTGAATAAAAACAGAATTTTATGCTCTGACGGGTTTGATCTTCATTCTTAACCAGATTCAAATGGCAGTGTTACATTTGGCGTGGACATCACAACATTAAACAAATAGAATTTAAGTATTAAACTATAAAGCACACAATGGTTGTCAAAAGTGGATAATTCCCTTTTTTTAAATAAACGGTCAGCTGCTAACAAACGTGGGATCGTAGTGGAAAATAGATTGTTGGGAGTATTGTTGGTAGTATTAGGACAGACAAAACATTTACATTCATTTAGAGTTAATATTTTAGTCACACTGAGAAACTTTTAACACCTCTACATTTTTATAGCATGCGTAAACGCTATTCATATTCAAGTTAGAACCCATGGTTTTTATCTATTTGTCTGATACAGATTTACATATTTGGCTTCGATCCACACTCTCAATGTAGGGGCTAGTGATACTACTCGGTTTCCAAAACCGAAGTAGATGAAATTGCTCAAACCTTATCGGCTGGCAATCGTATGCTCCTAATCACTGAACCATCACCATATGAATTCATGGCTAGCATGGTATATACTCGATAGTGAGACTACCCACAAAACCAAGGTAACCCGAGCACCTGATGCCGCCCTCAGAGTCCAGTATCCTCTCATGAGTAACTAATCGTAATAAATTTACCTAGTGATTAAGATAGGTGATAAAGAATTTACAGAGCAGTGAGTGGAAAATCTCTGTAAGATAGGTTGTGTTCTCAGAAACGCTCAATATTTGACGCCTTAATATAGTTGATTACATTTGAGACGTTAATTAGTATTTTATGAGTCAGGCCACAGGTTAATACATGATTTTAATAAATTTTTCTTAAAAAACTTTCGGGTTACTTGTTAAAAGAGAATATTGGTTAAGAAAAGCTATCGGATAATTATTAAAACTTAATCGTAGTAGCAAACAGGAAAAATGAATATTCATGGTTACACATTACATAAACATGGGGGCAGAAAATGTTGGCTAACCAGCAATGGATTTGAAATTCGGCTTACACTAACATAGGTCAAAATAGGAATCTAGTTGACGAATTTTTGTTGTTATTATTACTTACTCTTCAGGGAGACGGAGAGTGTATACACTTACGCCACTGTGACCGATTCTGTGCCATGTCACCAGTCTTCCTGTAGATAAGCAGCACAAAATGTGACGCTGTCTCATTACGATGGGAGGGTTTAAGATAGATGGGCCCAAAAATGACAAGAGACCCTGCCACTAAAATACTGGTGAGCGTTTTTTAGCGAGTTAGTTAGGCTAAAGAATACATCACGTCGGAATAGAAGCAGATATTAAAAGGATGAATAACAACTGGAAGGAGCTGGAAAGGATTGCCCAGGATAGGGTTGGATGAAGAATGCTGGTGAGCGGCCTATGCTCCTTCACGCTAAAAAATGCTAGCTAGCAACTCTTAATTTGGGCAAACGGATAAGCACTTTGACTATTTATGACAAATGAATCGAGGTAGTGATTCGACATAAAGTGGATGATTATAAAGAGCCATCTACTTTCTCCTTGAGGAGAGTGGATTATATTCAGTCAAATGTATTGCATTTAGCAGAGCCATTGTCATTTTAATCGCCAATCATTCCACGAATACGATGGAGGAGTTTTTTCAGCGTACATTTTTTTATAGCTAGATGTGCCAGCTATCATGCAAAGCAGGATAAAAGGAATTTGTCGTTGAATAGCTTTTATGAGAACTTAACACTGATGCTGACCATGTCTGTTTCAAAAGACTGAAAAAAATAAGGCGTTTGATCAAGTACACACACGAGATCCCACTTCAAATTTCGTAAGAACCCATTTTCTGTTACAAAAACCCAAGTTGTATGTAAGACGTTACGATACTTCAGCATAGGAGCCTAATACGTCTTTCTACTTACTCATTGTGAAGTTCGTTCTTATCAGTTCATGTGCCGTTCGCGAAAAATATTCTCATACCAGTGTAGTGGAATCCCAGAATATTCCAGACACCTCCATCTTTTTTTCCGACTTTCCCCACATTGACGGTAGTAGCAACAAAGTTGTCTGCGGTTTGTCGTGAACAGAATCGAGCGATCTCATCCTCCTTTGTACTAGAGTGCAAAGGTTTGTGGTGAATAATTGCTCAGTTAAATGACGTATGCTATATATCTCGATCTGAAACAGCAATGCAATTCAGTTTGATATGGCATGATGCTGATCCCAGTTTTGTAAGGCGTTTAAAACTATAAGCTGTTAATTTTCATTATCGAATTTTCTTATTTTTACTCGTATGTTGTCATCAGTCGCAAATTTCTCCCCTTGCACGCTCTCTCTGGGAAAAGCATCTCCAAACTATACGAGAACCATATTTTTAAAGTGCAAGATACATGTTATAAATTACAGTTCTTAATTTCGTCTTGCTAAAGTGCAGTTTAATTTAGGAAATTACCAGATTACAAAATAATTTTGAAATACCTAGATTTTAGCGTCGCGGAATTATGATAATTAGGAGTATTTGAATTATAGTTTGAACTAAGAATCCCAAAAATAACGTATTCGGATCAAGAAGTACTAGATAAGCACGAACGAATTTACTATACTTGGAATTCAAAATCAAGCATTCAACAAGTGCAAAGGAATTATTAATTCATTCAAACACCACAGGAATCCAAAGATGCATACCACTTGATGGAAACATAAAACTAACTGTTATAATTAAGCTCCACTAAATTCCCTTCCACATGAGAATGTCAGATCTGATTACTTCACACTGACACTATTGAATTATTATCTCCTTCAATTTGTTTCCGTTGCATCTACCCCCTGAACAGGCAGGTTCTCAGGGCGATCATTGGTCAATCGTCTTACCGACATTTTAGCTGAATTTGCTGATGAAGCACTTATAGGGAACTTAGTCTCCCACTTCGACATTCCATGACTTATCACTAGTGATGGACGTCCAGAATTCCATGATTGTTTGCTTTAACAGCTTACCAAGGTCTCAAGTATCAATTGGACTCTCACAACGTTGTATCGAGGAAAAGGAAGAGAGTTTATAACGAAAGCCTAAAGGTTCTCTTCCTATGACTATAGCGTGGCGTCGAGTCCCACTTGACTATGAACACCGCTACCAAGAAACACGTGCCAAATAAATCAGAAGGCGAATTGGAATCAAGTTTATTCAATTGGCGATCTCGTGATATCGAACGAATACCAAAATAGTGTCAAGAAATGGTACAAGCGAAAGCAGGAGAACTGAGTACGTGCGAACAAAGCCAAAAACCGTGGAACAATGATGGAAGGTAATAGAAGCACAAAATGGCTGCAATTATCACAGTTAAACAAAGGCACATTAAAACAAGCACTGGTACAGTTGGTTATAATAATAATTGTTTTCATTAAACCAATCGTGTTCTCGTGATACAAGTAAGTCACTACATGACTTTGATAAATCATGGTCCGTATATAAGCCTTGTTTTGCATTGGCTCAGAGCTAACATGGATCTGGCTTTACACAAACACACACTGAAATTTCTCAACACTGTTCATGACTTGAGTTTAAGGTATAAGGAAACTTTGAACCCTTCTGAGCACATTGCATAGCAAGTATCCAAAGCAAGAAAGCATATTGGATTCATAATGATAAATTTCAACTACTCTATAAATTTCAGAGTGCAAGTCAATTTTAAACAACGTTTGAAGTAAGAACGATCATCCATTATTAGATTATTATAAGAAGTTATTTCGATTTCCAGGACTGACTCATTCCTAATTGTCCTAATTAGATGACTTTTTGGAGGTACGTCCTTTCGACCTATCGGGGAAGCTACCAAGTAGTTTAAAAATACTAAAAAATGCTAGCTAGCAACTCTTAATTTGGGCAAACGGATAAGCACTTTGACTATTTATGACAAATGAATCGAGGTAGTGATTCGACATAAAGTGGATGATTATAAAGAGCCATCTACTTTCTCCTTGAGGAGAGTGGATTATATTCAGTCAAATGTATTGCATTTAGCAGAGCCATTGTCATTTTAATCGCCAATCATTCCACGAATACGATGGAGGAGTTTTTTCAGCGTACATTTTTTTATAGCTAGATGTGCCAGCTATCATGCAAAGCAGGATAAAAGGAATTTGTCGTTGAATAGCTTTTATGAGAACTTAACACTGATGCTGACCATGTCTGTTTCAAAAGACTGAAAAAAATAAGGCGTTTGATCAAGTACACACACGAGATCCCACTTCAAATTTCGTAAGAACCCATTTTCTGTTACAAAAACCCAAGTTGTATGTAAGACGTTACGATACTTCAGCATAGGAGCCTAATACGTCTTTCTACTTACTCATTGTGAAGTTCGTTCTTATCAGTTCATGTGCCGTTCGCGAAAAATATTCTCATACCAGTGTAGTGGAATCCCAGAATATTCCAGACACCTCCATCTTTTTTTCCGACTTTCCCCACATTGACGGTAGTAGCAACAAAGTTGTCTGCGGTTTGTCGTGAACAGAATCGAGCGATCTCATCCTCCTTTGTACTAGAGTGCAAAGGTTTGTGGTGAATAATTGCTCAGTTAAATGACGTATGCTATATATCTCGATCTGAAACAGCAATGCAATTCAGTTTGATATGGCATGATGCTGATCCCAGTTTTGTAAGGCGTTTAAAACTATAAGCTGTTAATTTTCATTATCGAATTTTCTTATTTTTACTCGTATGTTGTCATCAGTCGCAAATTTCTCCCCTTGCACGCTCTCTCTGGGAAAAGCATCTCCAAACTATACGAGAACCATATTTTTAAAGTGCAAGATACATGTTATAAATTACAGTTCTTAATTTCGTCTTGCTAAAGTGCAGTTTAATTTAGGAAATTACCAGATTACAAAATAATTTTGAAATACCTAGATTTTAGCGTCGCGGAATTATGATAATTAGGAGTATTTGAATTATAGTTTGAACTAAGAATCCCAAAAATAACGT